TGGTGGTGTCAGGCCGCGTCGCCATGGCAACTGCGCCGCCAGGCTCGGGGGCGGGGTTGGAGGCTCCGTCCCCTCCCCTACAGCGCTTCCTCCCAGCCAATCAGCTTGTCGCCACTTACAAGCCCCGCCCCTCCCGCGGTCAGCCCCGCCCCCCAGCCAGGCTTGCAGGGTGGGGCGGAGAGAGGTAAAGAGGTAGGATCCCTGGGTTGGTCCGGGGTTGGAGGGAAGAGCCAATCAGTTCGTCCCTACCCCGCCCTCTCCCAGGTCCCGCCCTGTTTTCAGTGTCCTTCCCCCACTGAGCTCCTGCTCCCCCATCCCTGAAGTAGAGGTTCCCTCGCCCCACCTAACCTAACCACCTCCACGCTCCAGTCCCCCACACCCACTGCTGCCCCCTGTCCTCAGCTCTGTGTTTCCTTCCTTTCCCCGCAATATATTAAACTGGGGATTTCATTGCCCTCCTACAGCTGGGTGACACAGGCCTAGCAAAGAGGGTGGGCAGCCTCAAGTGCAGCTCTGGGAGCCCCCTGGGGACCAGGGTTTGGGGCAGACTCTAAACCCAGCTCTTGTCCTTTTTGTGCCCATTCCCTCCAGCGGCAGGTGTCCAGACCAAAACAGCTACCAAATACTTGGCCTGGGATAAGTTCCCCTCCCTGTAGCAGGATGAGGTGTCCCAGCCCCACCCATGGGGTGCACTGGCAGAGAGCACAGGAAGGCCACCTGCTTTTCCCATGCTGTGCCAATGCATAGTATTGCGGCAGCATTTTATCACCCAGCCCAAAATGGCAGAGAAAATCAACACATTCATGAGGAGGGTGCTGTGACACCGGCTGGGGGTGTGAACCACGGGAAGCAATGCGGCTGTTCTCTTTGGGGACCGGTTTGCAATGGAAGGAGCGCTCGTTTCTCGCACTCTCATCATCCATCCATCCTCCTGCCCAGGCTATGGCATTGTTTCTCAGCCTTCAGGTTGTCACGCTCTTATTAAAGGACAAAACTAGTGCACTCCCTCCATCCCCATTCCTTGCCCTTATATGCATGCCCCTTAAAGTAAAAGTATATAACTCTGAGAAGCCTGTATAATGGATGTGCATGGGTGTTTTGAGGTTGACGGAGTATATTTGACTGGATTTTTTTGATCCTTTGTCTGATTTCGGCAAAGTAACTTCTCTGCGCTGCCATCTACCTGCTGTAAAATGGAGACTGTATATTTTACCTGCTTTGGAGAAGAACCATGGGTGTTTTGAATGGTGATGAAAGTCCTGCAGATTCTTGGTTGAAACAGGGTAGATTAGGACAAATGATTACAGATAAATGCCTTCAAGTCCCCAAGGCAGACAAGATTCTTTGGGTAAATGTAATATCTTTTATTAGACCTTAGCTTTATTAGCCCTTTTTATTAGATCTTTCTTTACCCAAAGAACCTTGTCTGCCTGTGTCTTTTGACCAACAGGGCTACAACCAACAACCTTGAAGTCCACAAGCTAGCCATCTTTTGAAATCCCCGTCCTTTTACTATCACATAAGTGGCAACAGCAACAGAGTGCTGGTGTGCATATGGTACAAAGGTTTTTAATCGCTGAAGAGGAGAAAGTTGTTATCAGACAAAGAACCCAACATCACAGGCATGTGCCTTTATGCTTTGCAAGAGGTAAAACATGTAGATGGTGAGTAAGCTGGAGCTGAACGCTTCACTGGGAACTTGCAGGAATTCAAAAGTGCTCTCTGGATATAAAACAAAGCAGATTGCAGTCATCTCTTCTAATATGAATGGGCAATTCATGGAGACTACAACTCACAGCATGCAGCTGCCCCTCCACAGAAACTCCTGATAGGCCAGTTAGCACAGAGCAGAGGACTTCATTCTTTTTCTGTCTAATTTTGATGGTTGCAGAGCCACATGATGCTCTACAAGTCTTCAGGCACATGCCAATCTAATTTCCAGTCACAAAATTCTTCAATAAATTGCCAGTAAGGAACATAGGCCAGGCAAAAAAATTAATAATAACAATAAAATAAGCCACCCCACACACAGATCAACAATATTCATTTCTCCCTGTTTCTGCTATACATGTATCTGTTTCCTGCCTTCAGCAGGAAATGATGACTTGTCTCTTTCAGAACATCCTCAGGCCACATAACAGGTAGGGCCAACCGGCTGATGGGAGATCCTAAGAGCCCGGTGTCTGGGCCAAATACACTAACTTGACTCATAGCACCATTTAAGCTGCAGGTTGGTATAAAAAGAGAGTGAATTGTAAAGATCCATGGGTTGCACTTGCCCAACTTTGAATACATTTTAAATGCTTAACTGTTGCAGTAGCATTGGAAGGTGCTTCTATGTGTTGCTCATCTGCAGGTTAAGCAAGTATACTATTAATTCTATAGTTAATATAGAATTATGTTACAGTGAAGGCATGAGTTGACACAGTTTTTATCAACTGAGAGTTGTTTGTGTGCCACCAAACACATTTCTAGTCCTCAAGAACAACAGCAAACCTTTTATTAGAGGTAGAGTAAACTTCCCAGGAATACAGCAGTCCCAAAAGGTCTTAAAAGCCAAAGGACTTGGAAGAACTGAGGCCTGTTTGCTGATGAAGTACATGGGAGTCATAACGTGGCTTCACCTGTGCAGGCATCTCAGTATATTTGTAGAGTACAGTGGTTGTTTGTGCGTTGCCGACAATGTGTGGGGCTCAGACAAAAGATAGAGTATTGTGTGGTGCCTATTCTGAGGAGGTTGCAGGCAATAAAGTCCTTTTTTTAATTCTGCAATATGCATCTACCTCTGTCGGGGTTAGCAGCTGAACAGCAGACTTAGTGGCATTACTTCCAGTCTACAATAGACTACAGAAATAAAAGCCCTTCCTGTTTGCCAGAAAAGACGACATAAATAAATTTCTGAGTTTGCTCCTCTAGGACTATGAGTCAAGGCAATGGAACCTTTCCTATTGACAGTAGGGTAGGCTAGGAGCCAGGTGGATACAGGATGATGGGGCATCTACAAAAACAGAGATGCTTTTAAAATGGAGTAGGACCCCAGATAACCTGTCTATAGGTGAATGTTCTGTAGAGAAGTGAAGATGGACTAAAATGCTTGAGCTTCTTTCTTTTGGTTTGTATTCTCCTCCCATCCCCTGTTTATAGTCTTGCTGGGGGAAACTCTGAGAGCCACTGCTTTGGAGGAGGATGAGTCTTGGGAGAAGCCCGAGAAGGCTGAATGATGCTTGATTGCTGTTGCTCTGGATGCTATTAGTTTAGAGCAGTGGGGGGCCAGCCTTTTTGTCAGATGGGTCTAAAATTATCCCCACACCCTCCAAAAATGCCACTCCAGTCCCCTTCCCCTGCTGGATCTGCTGCTCTTCCTTCTGCTTCCTACCCTATCTGTCCTGCTGGTGCCTGTCCTCTTCCCAGTCTGCCACATGCCACACATGCTGTAGGTTGGCCTCCCCTGGTTTAGAAGACTGATGCTCTGGAAGAGGTAACACTATGGTGTGACCTGCTCAGAGAGCTCAACTATGACCATACTAGGCAATTGAAAAGCTGTGTGATGGTTTAAGCATGTGCTCTGGAATGGGGGTACCATGGCACTTCAGCCAAAGCAGTTCAA